CTCACCGCCTGGGGTTCTCGATAATCGTGAGTACCGGCCGGCCGGCGGGGTACTGGGCGCGGCACCACGGCGCCATCGCTGGGAGAAAGGAGCGACCGGGACTCCCTCCCTCCACTCCACCCCACCGGGATCCGAGCGAGCGCCGGACAGAACCACCCGCGGCGCCCCGCCTCCCAGCCAATCAACTCACGCCCAGTCCCCCAACCCCGCCCCCACACGAGACGTAGGGGGCGGAGCCTCCCTCTGCCTTCCGAGCGTGCGAGACTGACGGCCACTGATGAGGCTTCTGGCAGAGAGGGGGGCGGGCTTCTCACCTGTGTGAGGTTAGGAATGGAAGTCCTCGGCTCTTCCCTCGTGGGCGGGCTTCCAGCCGAGAACAGATTCTTTTCATTGAAGATTTCCATTGGACTTCCTTAAAGGGTCTTTCAGCTGATGAAGTACTTACTTATCTGTAATAATTTGACGAGATTGTACCACACAGCACGGAAGTTTTTATTTTTATTTTTAAAATATATTTCTTTATTGATTTCAGAGAGGAAGGGAGAGGGGAGAGAGAGAAACATCAATGATGAGAGAGAATCATCAATCGGCTGCCTCCTGCAGGCCCCCCATTGGGGATGGAGCCAGCAAACCAGGCATGTGCCCTTGGCCGGAATCGAACCCGGGACCCTTCAGTCCGCAGGCCTTCTATCCACTAAGCCAAGCCGGCTAGGGCCAGCACGGAAGTTTTTTAAATTAGCAACGACGGCGGCCAGGGGAAGGGGAGAACATGAGTGAGCATAAAGTTAAATATCTGGAGCCCTCAGTATCTATATCTTTTTTTCATGCTCTCCATTTGTGTCTCCAATGTCTGAATAGTGCCAAGTATATAGTAACTAGTCCATAAATACCTACTGATTGGAGGATGGAGGGAAGATAGGCTTTTTAAGCTGAGCACTTCTGGCAAGAAGATGGATGTATGCACATGCGATGGAAGTGAAAAAGGCCAGAGCAGAAAGCAGAAGACACATGGTATGATGAACAACACCCCGCCACCCCAAAATTCTAATCTAATTGGTTTGGGGCATCCTATTTTTTAAAAGCTCCGAAAATGATATACACAGCCTACAGACAACAGAGTGGTGAAGGCCAGGGGAGGGGTGGTAGGAGGTGGGTAGGGGTGGGAAAAGCGGGGGGAAATGGGAGACATCTATAATAGTGTCAACAATAAAAAAAAATAAGCAAAAATTTGATAGTAAGTTATCCATGGTCACACACACAAAAAGCTCCCCAGATGATTCTAATGTGATGCCAGGTTTTATCACCATTAAACTAGGTGCTTTCTAAGGCCTCATTAGCCCAGCTCAAGTTTCAGTGTTTGCAAGCTCTCAGCCCCATAGGATTCTTCCTGCCAGACCCAGGCAGGGTCTGCCAATCTACCAGGGTATTTGCCTTCCAAAAGCAAACCTAGCTACCATATGATTCCTCTCACTGGAATAAATGCTATAAGAGACTAACACTAGAAGCCTGAAGAAGGAAAAGAGAAGACTTGATCTTTCCACTGTGTATCCAGATTTGCAGCAATACACAGAAACATCTTAAGCAGGGCAACTCAGGCAGCCTCATCAACAAAAACGCCTGACCCTAAGACGATGGGCATTCTCTGTCCTGCTGGAGGTTGGAATATCTAGCTATTTTGCCCAGCTTTCGTAAACCACAAGAGCATGAAACTAAAAAAAAGTTTTAAACTTCTGGACTCTGGAACCAGGGATTCTCCTGGAGGATGCAGAAGCCATCCAACAAAAAATGGAAAGTTATGCCCTAACCGGTTTGGCTCAGCGGATAGAGCATCGGCCTGCGGACTCAAGGGTCCCAGGTTCGATTCCAGTCAAGGGCATGTACCTTGGTGCGGGCACATCCCCAGGAGGGGGCGTGCAGGAGGCAGCTGGTCGATGTCTCTCTCTCATTGATGTTTCTAGCTCTCTATCCCTTTCCCCGCCTCTCTGTCAAAAATCAATAAAATATATTTTTAAAAAAAATGGAAAGTCACTCTACACTTGGAAACAGTGTAGAATATTGGGAAATCCTATATAATAAAAGCCTAATATGCTAAGTGTTCGGTCGACCGGTCAGCCATTCAACCAATCAAAGCATAACATGCTAATGATATGCTAAGGCTGCTCAACTGCTTGCTATGACATGCACTGACCACCAGGGGGCATATGCTCTGATCAGTAGGTTAGCTTGCTGCTGGGGTCCAGGCAATCGGGACTGAGTGAGATGGGCCGGACATGCCCTGGAGCCCTCCCGCTGCCCCTCCCCGGCAGGCCAGCCTCCCGCATCTCTCCCCAGCCCCGATTGTGCACCAGTAGGGTCACTAGGCCTGGCTTGCACCCTCTCACAATTCAGGACCCCTCAGGGGATGTCGGAGAGCCAGTTTCGGCCCGATCCCGCATGCCAGGCCAAGGGACCCCACTGGTGCACAAATTCGTGCACCGGGCCTCTAGTAACCTAATAAAATTGTAAAGAGCATGAACTTCGGAACCAATCAGATTCACCTGATGTATTATCTATTATCATGAAACAAATTGCCCCAAATTTTAGTGGCTTAAAACAACATTTATTATCACAGTTTCTGTGAGTCAGCAATCTTGGTACAGCTTAACTGGATCCTCTGGTTCAAGGTTTCCTACAGACTGCAATCAAAGTACCAGCCTAACTACAAAAGGATCCACTGTCAAGTTCACTCATGTTATTGTTGGAAAGACTCAATTCCTCCTGGGCTGTTGGACTGAGAGCTTCCATTTCTTATCAGCTATTGGCTGGTCTCAGTTCCTTTTCATGTGGGCCTTTCCACAATAGCAATTTGCTTCACTGAAGTACACAAGCTAAGAAGGCAATAGTGTCTGCTAGTGAGATGGAAGTCTTCATCTATTGTAACCTAATCACAGAAGTGACATCCCCTCATTTTTGCTGTATTCTATTTATCAGAAGCAAGTCACACTCAAGGGAAGGGGATTACATAAGAACATGAATACCACCAGGACTCAGGATCTTTGGGGGGGCCATCTTAGAAATCTGCCTACCACACCTGAATTTGAGTTCTAGCTCTGGTACTTGCGACCATCAGCAATTTTCCAGGAAATAATAATAATATCTACTTCATAAGATAGTTTTGAGATTTAAATGAGGAAACGCATTTAAATTACCTGGTACATACTAAATGCCCAATACATGTTTGATATTACTTAGGTTGTGGACACAGGGAAGGGAATGTGGCTGGGAGGTGAAGACTGGCTAAGCAGAGCAGGAGTCAATGTCTAAAGGTGTGCTGTAGGCTCTGAGGCATCCCAGTTTACCAGTTAAAATTTTTAAAAATATTTTTTTATTGATTTCAGAGAGGGAGATGAAGAGAAACATCAATGATGAGGGAGAATCATTGATCTGCTGCCTCCTGCACACCCCCTATTGGGAATTGAGCCTGCATCCCAGGCATGTGCCCTTGACCACAACTGAACCAGGGACCCTTCAGTCGGAGGCCGAGGCTCTATCCACTGAGCAAAACTGGCTAGGGGCTACCAGTTACAATTTAAGAGGAAGGGCCCTGGCCAGTGTGGCTTAGTTGGTTGGGTGTTGTCCAGTGAATCCTTCCTCTCTCTAAAACTAATGAAAACATTTTAAAAATAAGAAAGTCTGAAGAACTGTCACAGCCAAGAGGAACTTGAGACATGACAACTAAATGTAATGTGCTATCCTAGATGGGATCCTAGAACAGAAAAAGGACATGAGGTAAAAACTAAGGAAATCTGCCCTAACCAGTTTGGCTCAGTGGATAAAGCCTTGGCCTGTGGACTGAAGGGTCCCAGGTTCAATTCCGGTCAAGGGCATGTACCTTGGTTGCGGGCACATCCCCAGTAGGAGGTGTGCAGGAGGCAGCTGATCGATGTTTCTCTCTCATCGATGTTTCTAACTCTCTATCCCTCTCCCTTCCTCTCTGTAAAAAAATCAATAAAATATATTAAAAAAAAAACAACTAAGGAAATCTGAATAAAGTATAGGCTTTAATTAATGTATCAATATTGATTCATTAATTGTAACAAATGAACCATACTAAGGTAAGATGATAATAAAAGGGAAATTGGGTATGAGGTATATGGAAACTGTGCTATCTTCACAAAATTTCTATAAATCTAAAATTGTTCTGCCCTAGCTGGTTTGGCTCAGCGGATAGAGCACTGGCCTGCAGACTGAAAGGTCCCAGGTTCGATTTCCGTCAAGGGCACATGCCCAGGTTGCTGGCTCCATCCCCAATGTGGGGCGTGCAGGAGGCAGCCCATCAATGATTCTCTCATCATTGATGTTTCTATCTCTCTCTCCCTCTCCTTTCCTCTCTGAAATCAATAAAAATATATGTAAATATAAATAAAAGTCAATTAATTTACCCAAATCCATACAGCTAGTAAGTACCCAAAGTTCAAGACCAACCCAAATGACTTCAATGTGCTTTTTCCACTACACAATACCCTTCAAACTTTATTCTCTTTAAGATTATATAGGTATTTGTATGACTATCTAAAATAAGTCCCTTAAAGGCAGAGAAAAAAAAATTTCCCCCTAGTACACCATTAGTGTTCAGTAAACCAGTTTAAGTTAACTACTCACAAAAAAGTCATGGAGACGTAAAGAAACAAATTTGATCAGGTCTGACCTACCATACAGTCAACTGTACAGCCCGCTCCGTCGTGAGGCCCCTCAGGCGGGCCACTCAGTTCAGCAAGGGTCCTGTGCTGCCATCTACCGGTAGCTGGTAAGCATCAACTTCCCTTGCTGTATTTCGGGAACCCGTGGGTAGTGGGGAAGTTGGAAAGAAGACTCAAAAGCTAATTAAATCACAGAACCTATGTTAAGTGTTACAAAGTTCACTCAACACTTGTTCAAGGCAAAGGCCCTACTTTTCTTCAAAGATTTCAGGCTCTCCTATCTCCGTATTAAATCTTAGGCTTCTAAAATTCAGTCTTCCTCTCTAACCCACCTCCGCGGGTACAGATCTGACTGTCACCGCCCGTCTCCCAGAACTCAGACTCTCCCGCACATGGT